GCTTGCAGGCTGACCAAACCGAACCCAGATGTCCTTGTCCTGGGGGCGATTGAATTCTGGCTACGACAGTCATCTGTGGGGCAATCAGGTGTTACAAAACCCAACCATGCTCTGGGCACTTCAGAACCTGCTCTGGGGGTGAGGAGGGGAGAACCATGGCCCCCTACCCGCCTCTCATGGTGAGGTTGGCTCTGGTCAGCTCTGGTCTTGCTTTTTTACGGGCGTGCTGAGATTGTGCAGTGGGGGCCCAGGATTAAAGACTGCTCCCCGCTGTGGATGGGGCTGGGGAGCCCAGTGCATGGTCCAGAGCAGGAATTTAACATATATTTGTGGAATGAGTGACCAGAGGGTGAAAGATGCATCAATAGCCTGTGCATGGTGCTTGGCATAGAGCCAGCCCCATTGCTCACCCACATTCTGATGTGGGCAAGTCACTCGCCCTTTTCAAAGTCACTATTGCTTCATGCCTAATGTTTAGATAAGCAACTTTGTCCTGCTCACGAGTTGTTGGGATACAAGAGCTGAGTGTAATGAGTGTGGTGGGTGCCTTTTCGCTTCTTCACTCATTAAATCACTCCTTCCTCCAGCCAGCTGATTTGATTAAGCATTCTGTGGGGGAGATGGGCCGGATCCCTTCTTGGGGAGGTTAAGATCTAGTGGTGAAGTCGGATGACAACTTAGTAAATCAGTAGATAACCAAGATAATACTTTCAGACTATCTTGAGCGCTTAGAGTGAAATAGTGATTAGATAAACGTAGTCATAATATTGATAAAAGCCAACACGTATTAAATACTTTCTCTGTGCCACACTTGTTGTAAACACTTACTTGTATGATGCATTGAATCCTCACCACCTTCCTAAAAGAGGTATGTATAATCATGGAATTTTATTTTATAAAGGGAAACTGAGACGCAGAGGTAGGCTCTACTGGACAGATGTGGGCTATTTTAGACAGCATGATCAAGAAAGGTTTCATGGGAGGTGACATTTAAGCAGGGTCCAGAGTGTGCATTTATATGTGCCTCTAAAATCCACGAGTCCCTTTCTACCCACGCTCCTGCTGCCCCCCCACTGTTTGGTGAACCCCCCCATGTTACTCGTTGTCATTGTGACAACCTTCTAACCAGACCGGCCTCCTCACAGCCAGCGTGGTGTGACAATGGCCAGAGGGAGCAGGCAGACTGCTCTGTGCATTGGGGCCCACTTCCTGCTCCGTTGACCTTTCTAGCGTGTGACTGATTGGTGTCCTCTGAACTTCAAGTTGATAAGGCCCGGAGCCCGGAATTACAGAGTACGCAATAACAGCTTACCCCCGTGGCCTCACTCACCCCTGGGCAGGCGGAGGGTGTTTCTCCCCTTCCCGTAAACACGGAGCCCTGGCCATGCACTGTGGGGATGGGGCAGAAAATCACCCGGTGGTCGGAGCAGTCATCAGGATGATCGCACCCGCACTCGTAGTGCAATGAAGCTCACGGTCTCTCACTGCCAGGATGCCGTGGGGGTCTCCCAATGACCTTGGGGAACAGAGACTGCTGTGCATGTCTGGAAGATCAGAGAAGTGAGGGCCCAGGTGCTTCAGAAGTTTAGCCAAGGTCCTGTAGCTGGTGGGGAGGAAAGCTGGTGGTTTAGCTTTCTGATACGTAAAAACCCTGTTAACCCATCTGACCATAGGCTATAGCGATGACGTCTTCCTTAGAAAGCACCGCCGTTTACTGTTGTCAGTACTGACCCTGTGCTGGATTCTGAACCAAGAGTTTTGTGCAGAGGAACCCCATTTAATCCTGTTGCCTGGCGCAGGGCCCAGTGTCCCACACGTGGCACGAACCCAATGTCACTTTATGGGACTCTGTTTTTGGATAAGGGGAAACGGAGGCCCAGGAAAGTTACATAGCAATGGGGCTGAAATGGAAATGCGGGCCATGTGCTTATGGGGTTTGTCTCTTGTGCGTGATGCACGCTGCCTGCCTCACGTTTGGGTCCCCGGTGCCCCGGCGTGTGTAGGGGCAGGGCACACTGAACTCCAGGCTTTTGCCACTTGTCTCTGGTGACACCCAGAGTTTCTTCAGTTTTTTCTCTGCATTACTGCTCAAGACGGTTTCAGCCCAGGTCTTCAGCCCTGCAGAGGTGAATGGGGCTGTCAATTCCCTCAGGAAGCCTTCTTCGCTTCCTCTTCCCTCCGGAGAGGCGGAGAGGCGGAGCATCTGAGGTCCTGGAGAAGGAGGGTTTTCCTCGTGGGGCCTGCAGGGTGCATGGTTCTTGGAAGGGCTGGTAGAATTCTGTCCCTGTGAAAGGGTTTCCTGCCTTCTACTGGCCAAGTTTTCAAATATAAGTAGCAACCTTGGCCTCCCCTCGTCTCTGCTCCAGGCTGCAGCTCTGCGTTTTGTTTGTTTCTGTCCTATCAGAGCTGACCTGGGGGGCCCTGTGCTCAGCAACACAGAGAAGGTGGACTGAGGGCTCTGGACTCTGTTTGCAGGTCTCGGGGACGTGGTGGAGAAAGCGCAGATGATTCCCAGCGGAAGCTTTCCCCTCGGGGGTAGAATGTGAGCCAAGCTTTCAAATGCATTTAGACTTTCATGGATCGGAGAGGAAGGCGAGCACATCTGATAAAGGGTTATATGCAAAATATAAAAGAAACTCAAACAACTCGATAGCAAAACAAAACAAAACAAAACCCCAAATAACCTGATTTGAAAAAATGTAGGAAAGAACTGCATAGATGTTTCCCCAGGGAAAACGCACGAATGGGCAACACATATGTGAAAAGGGGCTCAACATCACTACTCATTAGAGAAATGCAAATCACAATGCGAAATCACTTCACACTTGTTACAATGGCCATCGTCAAAAAGAAGATAATACATGTTGGCAAGGAGGTGGAGAAACTGGGATCCTGAACACTGTTGGTGGGAATGGAAATCGGGACAGCCACTGTGCAAACAGTATGGAGGTTTCTGAAGAAATTAAAAACCACATAATCTCCCTTCTAATTGTTTATCTACCCAAAGGAAGTGAAACCAGTCTCTTGGGGCGATATCTGCACCCCCATGCTCCTTGCAGCATTGTTTCCAGTAGCCAAGACATGGAAATAGCCTGTTGAAGGACAGATGGACAAAGAGAATGTACTGCATCTACACAATGGGCTATTATTCATCCTTCAACAAGAAGGAAATCTGACCAGCAGTGACAGTACGGATAACTGTGGAGGACCTTCTGCTAAGCGCAATCAGCCAGACACAGAAAGACAAGTCTTGCATGATCCCCCACGGACTTGTGGGATCTAAAAGAGTCCAAGTTAGAGAAGCAGAGAGTAGAGTGGGTTGCCAGGGCTGGGGGGTGGGAAAACGGGGGAGAGGCTGATCAAAAGACAGAGGTTTTGGTTATGCACAGTGAGTTAATTCTGGAGACCTCTAATGTACAGGACGGTGACTACAGTTAATAATACCGTCTTGTATACGTGAAGTTTGCTAACAGTGGATCTCAAATATGCCTACCGCATACAAGGCAACTGGTGACTATGTGAGGTGATGCCTATGTTAATTAACTTGATTGTGGTGATCATTTCACAATGTATACATATATCAAGATATCTCCCTGGCTCAGTGGCATAGCTCAGTGGATTGAGCACAGGCTGCCAACCAAAGTGTCACAGGTTCGATTCCCAGTCAGGGTACATGCCTGGGTTGCAGGCCATGGCCCCCAGCAACCGCACATTGATGTTTCTCTCTCCCCGCCTCTTTTTCCCTCCCCTCTCTAAAAATAAATAAATATAAATCTTTAAAAAAGTGTTTTAAAAAAAGATATCTCACTGTGTGTGTGCATACACACACACACACACACACAATTTTATGTGTTAATCTTAACTCAGTAAAGCTGGAAGGAAAATAATCTACAATGCCACAGACTGGGTGCCTTAAACAATAGCAATTTGTGTTTGCACAGTTCTGGTGGCTGGGTGTCCAGGATCAGGGTGCAGGTAGGTTTGGTCCCAGTTTGCAGACGCCCGTCTCCTAGCTGTGTTCTCATGTGGTCTCTTCTGGATGTGCCTGCATCCTTGGTGTTGGTCTGTGCCTCTGAATTTCCTCTCCTTATAAGGAAGAACACCCATCAGATTGGATTAAAACCCACCCTAATGGCCTCGTTTTAACTTAACCACCTCTTAAAGGCCCTATCTTCAAATACAGTCACATACTGGGGGTCTGAGGGGGCTCATACTTTAGCATATGAGTTTTGGAGGGACGCAATTCAGCCCATAACAGATATCAGATGAAACATTTTATGCAATTATTTTAAGGTTCACAATAACCCTATGACTAGTACTATGAGTAACTTCATTTGATTCGGGTCACACAGTGGCGAATGGCAGAGCCAGGGTTTACCTGTAGCCAGGTTTGTCTGATAAGAGTCTTGCCTCCTACCCTCTCACTTGGCCACGTGGAACACGGCCGTCTTCCCGATGGGTGCGCTTGGGGTGCGACCGAGGGCCTGCTGCACCTCATTGCAACTGTGTGCGGAAGAACAGCGTCATCAGGGGCAGGTCTCCAGAAAGGCGGAGGACTTGAGAGCGCAGGTGGGTTTCATTGTTTCTTCAGGTACAAATGTGGACCCTAGAATGGAGTGGCAGATTTGGGAAGGGCAAGGCAAGCTGGGGAGACAGGGTTGAGTAATGGGATTGGCACCTAATGAGCTAAGGAGGGGATGGTAATGGCTTCATGGGCGGGCTCCGCCGCTGAGAGCGAAGAACAGGTTATTTGTTCTGCAGTCCAGCCGACTGAACCACGGGGATCCAAAGTGAATATAAATGTGCATTGAATTGTGTATCCTCAAAAAGGTACACTGATGTTTTAACTCTGGCACCCGTGAATGTGACTTTGTTTGGAAATTGGATCTTTGTGGAAGTATTAGCTAAGATGAGGCCACACTGAGTTAGGACAGCCCTAAATCCAATGACTGGTGTCCTTATACCGAGGTCATGGGGTGACACAGAAACACAGAGGGTAAAGGTGGCTGCATGAAGATGGAGGCAGAGTCAGCGTGCTGTCCCTAAATCCAAGGGACACCATGGATTGTGGGAAGCCGCCGGGAGCGGGAGAGAGGCCTGGACCGGGTTGTCCTTCAGAGCCTGCGGAAGAAACCAGCCTTGCGGACGTCTGGACTTTGTACTTCTAGAACGGTGAGCCAGTGCCCTTCTGTCACTCAAAGCCACCAGGCTTGTGGAACTTTGTTAAGGCAGCCCTAGGAAACTAATAGAGATTAGAATGGAGAAATACTCATGACAAGAATTGCTCTGAATGACAGATGCTAAATACGACTCAGAGAGAAAAATCAAGGTGCAGAATGTGCCTGGGGATTTACAGGAAAGAATAATTGTAGAGAAGGATGGGAATTGTGTTCTCAGAATCTCTATACAAATGAGCAGATTATGAGAAATGAAAGAAACTAGTGACAGCAGTGGTAGATGAGATATTCTAGAATCACCAGGACTTGGGATGGAATTCAATATTGGGACATGCAACGCCTGGCTGGCATAGCTCAGAGAACTGAGCGCGGGCTGTGAACCAAAGTGTCGCAGGTTCCATTCCCAGTCAGGGCACATGCCTGGGTTACAGGCCACAGCCCCTAGCAACCGCACATTGATGTTTCTCTCTCTCTCTCTCTTTCTCCCTCCCTTCCCTCTCTAAAAATAAATAAATAAAATCTTTAAAAAAATAAAAATAAACTCTGATTTAAAAAAAATATTGGGACATGCTAACATGAAGGTAGTATACCCATTACGTGTGGGGCTAATCAGTATTAAAAAAAATAAAGAGACAGCCCTGGCTGGCGTAGCTCAGTGGATTGAGTGCGGGCTGCGAACCAAAGTGTTGCAGGTTCGATTCCCAGTCAGGGTACATGCCTGGGTTGCAGGCCATGACCCCCAGCAACTGAACATTGATGTTTTTTTTCCTCTCTCTCTCTCTTTCTCCCTCCCTTCCCTCTCTAAAAATAAATAAATAAAATCTTTAAAAAAATAAAGAGACAGACATGCTCCTCATGGAAATTGGACAGCCTGAGACAGCAAACAGGTCAACAGAGCATAAGGTGAGGCCGTAAACGTAGGTGCACGGCAGTGCCGCCCTGAAAGGGGTAGCAAGAGCCACGTGAATCCCCCAGAAAGTAGCCTGGTGTCTTTCTTGCCCAGGTCACAGACTGGCTCTGAGGTAGGGTGTTGTCAAAATAGAAGCTCAGATCACCTCTCCAGGTACTGGCTGCAAGCTTTATTTGGCTGGGGGTGGGGAAGTTTGACATGTTTTTGCCTTGCTTAATGGGTAATTTCATGTCACAGTGGGTAGTGACTAAGGAATTTCCACTCTGGACTTAATGATGAATTGCTAATTGGTTGGTGTAGTGGACATGATGGAATCTTAAGATAAAGCCAGCTGGGATTTCTCCTTTTGGGGTGACCATGGCCTCAGGGAATTCATGCACTCCAACGAGAAGAAAAGACAAACATAGTCAGGATTGTACCCTAGACTTTAAGAGGAAAGAGGAAAGAAAATTTGGAGAATATCTTTTGTTTATTTCTTGTTGGCAGATAACGCAAAATTCCATAGGTTTTTCCTTCTCTTCCTCCCTCCCTTCCTCTCTCCCTCCTCCACTTTTCCTCTTTTGATTTCTACAAGTGAATGCCAGTATTTTTACCCTTTAAGAGAGTCATTATGGAATATTAAACTTTAGCCCTTAGAAATTGAAACTAGCCAGTACCGGAGTTTGTAGAAGGCTGGCCTGGGTGTTCAGGAGGCGCTCCCACTGGACTCCGGAAGGATGATTAGTTATCAGGTATCGTCAGGGCTGTCTGTTGGCTGTGCTTCTCACGTGCTTGTTAAATATATATGGCAGCTTGCTTTGTTTCATTATCATTCATTTAGATTGTTTATATTATTAGATGAACGATTTCAGTGTTTTGTCGGTCCTCTTGTGGAAAACGAAAATATTTGCATCACTTGTATTTTGAAACTATAGTTCTCAAATAACTGTATCTTAAGAGGTTTATTACTGTGAATTGTAATGTGAAATAAATAGCAGCCTGTCATGGTTATAGCAGGGGTATACATCATCTTCATCATCCCCAAATGTTATACATTTGAGTCCTGACAGTAGGGTCAGACTGACTCGTGTGAGTCATGGTCTCACCTTTTTTATAAAATCAGAATTACGGAACCTGCTTCAGTGATAGTTAAACGACACCATGTATGTACACTGTCTGGAGGTGTCCAACCTTTTGGCATCTCTGGGTAGCACTGGAAGAAGAAAAGTTGTCTTGGGCCACACATTAAATATGCAAACACTAATTAACAAAAAAAAATAAGGTTTTAAGTAAATTTATGATTTTGTGTTGGGCCACATTCGTAGCCATTCTGGGCCACATGCTTTGGTTGGGCACCCTTGACTGCTCTGTAAAATGAGAACTAATAATCACCAATAGTTAGAGAGCACTCACAGTTTGTTGGGCACCATGTGCAGTGTTTTGCATACATTGACTCATGAGTCCTCGGGAAGCTCCGTGAGGTAGGGGTAACTTTCATCCCTGCTTTACAGATAAGAAAATGCCCGAGGCACAGGGCACTCAGGTAAGGCACCAGGCAGCAGAATTAGTAAGTGGCAGAGTGGGGATCTGAACCCAGAAGGGGTGGTTCCAGACTTATTTCTGGGGACTGCCATACTACTTAGGATGATAATAAGAATACACCATTTCTTTTCCAAGTGGGTCATACAGTGGGATCAAAGTCAAGTGCATCGTCTCCATGTACTTGCAAACGGTTTATTTCCTTCCTTGCTGTAGGCATCGGGAGAGGCTGTATGTCACTCGCCCTCAGATCCCCAGAATTTAGCTCGGCCCTTGGTCCATGAATGGCTGAGTCAAGGTTTTCCTCTCACTGAACATTTCTCATCCTAGTCCTTGCCGAGGATGCTAACAGAGGGTTGTTAAACGATGCTCACCAGGACTGCCGCCTGCAGAGGACTCTTCTAGGTTCCACTTTGAACCCGATGCCCCTTGAGGGCAACTAGTTGAAGTTTCATGAGTTTAGGCTTCTTCCAGGATGGAGCCATTCAGTTGAGCATCTGGAAAATGTCATTTTCTTTTCTTTTTTTTAAAAAATTATGTAGAATTTTTTTAGAGTTTTTTAAAAAGAGTTTATTTATCCATTTTTAGAGAGGGAAGGGAGGGAGAAAGAGAGAGAGAGGAGAGAGAAATATCAATGTGCAGTTGCTGGGGGTCATGGCCTGCAACCCAGGCATGTGCCCTGGCTGGGAATCGAACCTGCGACACTTTGGTTCACAGCCCGTGCTCAATTCACTGAGCTACGCCAGCCAGGGCAAAAATGTCATTTTCCATTAGTACTTAAAATCCATGGAGCTCAAGTGAACCTTAGTGGTAGCCTACAAGAGAGGAAATAGGGATCCAGAGACATGATGTTATTTTCTGGAGCTTGCTCAGACAGTGAGGGGTAGATTTCAGGCCGGAAATCACAACTCCCGACACTGTCCAGTGTACCTTTCAATGCATTTAGCAGGAGAATCTGGAATATCAGGGATTTTACAATATGGGCTTTGCTTGTATGTGTTGTAACATTTGGATTAAAGCTAAAAATCTGAACAAATATTTATATACTGCTTTTTTAATGAAAGGAAACTGTAGCTTTAAGAGGCTATTTTAACAATGAACATGTTTGGGCCCCCCATAAAGACATCTGTAGAATGCTCATGGGCAAAAACGATGATAAAATTACTTAAGGCGTTCAGTGAGATCTCAGTAAAATTCTGCACAACTGCTGTTTTGTTCTGTACACCATAAATCAAGTATGTGTGCTACAAAAGAAGAAACATACTCAAGATATTCAAAACTGTATCATTTGTGGAAATTGCTAGACATCCATGAAGCAAACGAGACAGCGCTTTGGACAAACTCAAATGATGCCGCTAAAGGAAACTTTAGAAAAGTGGGTTCGAATCAAGATCTACTAAAATATTACTTTAACAAATGTGCTGTTTGTGAAATTGGATTTTCAAACAAATGACTCCTCCATATTTCGAAATGAGTGGCTTATGGTTTTCCTGGGAAAGGAAGAACTTTGTGCATTCAGGGGAAATATATTTTCCTAGTGACTATATCAATAGTGGTCAAAGATAACAATGGTTATCAAAATCAATCAATGCCGGACAAGAACTAGAGGCACGACCCGGTCCAAGCTGTTGCTCCCTCCTCAGAGCTCCTCTGTCCTTTGCACATGATGCTGGTGCAATGCTTGTGCAATGCTGGTGTAACAATAATCGTACCCTTAAAGTATACGTTGCCCTTCAACTGTGGTGGGTAGGAACCCTGCCTCTTTCATTTTTTAAAAAGTAGTTGAGTTATTTCATGTCACATTTGGAATGAGCGGTAGATCCAGCAGCAGGACTCAGATCCATTAAAGTCTATGGCAATAAATGGAGATCAATTCAACGAGAAAAGCAAAGGCTAGTTTTTCTGAACTAGGTGTATAGCGAAGGCGTCAGCCACCATCACCCGCGTCTGACAGAGATGAGAGGCGGGCAGGGGAGCGGGGGAGTTTTCTCGTGGAAGAGGCTTCCGGTGAGCCCTCCCTGGAGGCTGTTCACATGAGAAAGCTGTCGAGGGGCAGCTGGAAGTGGGGCACCCTAGGCGATAGGTTAGCGGTAGAGAGCTGACTAACTCTGTTGGGTCCTAATGTGGAAATGGGGACAAGAATTAGGAAAGCTGTCAGTTATTAATCAAGTCCTGCTTGTTTGGGGCCAATTACTACAGGAGTCAATATTTGGCTTCTTGGACCTGTTGTTAGAGAGTGGTCTGACTTCCTACAGGTTGGTCGTATCGGGAGCAGGTTGGCTCCCTGAGCAGGTTACTGTACATAATGGATTGGGTACATGGGCCTGTTGCTCTAGATTGTGGGTCAGGATTCAAATGGGTTCACGTGGGTCATTTTTCTGTGGGGTGTGGCCCGTGCACCTGTGTGCATTCAGCCTATCTGTTTGGTTCTCTTCTTGCTAAATCAGGGGGGAGCAGCCTTTCTGAAAAGGGCCAGAGAGAAAACGTTCTCGGCTTCCTGAGCCATGAAGTCTCTGCTGTAATTACTCAGCACTGACATTTTCGCAAAAAGGCAGCCGCGGACAATATGTAAACAAGGGGAGTTGGCTGCGTTCCAACAAAACTTTATTTACCAAAACAGGCAGCAGGCCGGATATCGCCCCAGGGCTGCAGTGTGCTGACCCCTGCTGTACAGTGAGGAGCCTGCACAAAATCAACACATATGCACACGCCAGCTGTCCGCTGTGTCCCGACTCGTTCCCCTTGGGCCCCCGTTCACGCTGTGGAAGCGATGGGCTTCCCTGGGGGCTGGTTTCTGAGTGGTGGTGCAGTCGAGAGGCATAAGGAATCAACAAATGTGTCAATTTTCATTTTTTCCTTCCTCTCAAAGGACATTATATGACACCCATTTAATAACTAAGGTGATCCTTCTTATAATGTTGTTTCCTTTTTTTTTCCTATTCCCCCAAGGCCCATACTTCATTTTCAGAACCCCACAAAGAAACCCTCTGCCATGCACAGTGAAACGGCACAACGAACTGTCTTCCCGCCCAGGTGTCACATGTCAGACAAGAGGGGATGAGAGCAACGCTGTTAAATGGGTGAAGGTGATCTGTCCTGAGCCCAGCCCCCTTAGGTTTGCTCCATAGCTGCCGCAGTTCCAGGCACCACGGACAGAAAATCGTCCAGAGGAGGCAGAGGCCATGTCTTCCTTGTATCACCCAGAAGTTTCCTGGTGGACTCATCCTCATGTCACATTGACCCAACTATTTCACATGCCCCAGTCCACACTGGGGAATGGGACCACTGCGACTGGCTTGGATTAAGCAGTAGTCACCTGTAGAGGTTGGGGGTAACTCTTGCTTCCTCTGATGCTCGTGGCATTACAGAGCGGGGTGGATGCGAGTGAGCGAAATTGGATTTCTGTAGGAAGGACGGGGCCAGGGGTCAGTACTGAGAAGCCAAGCGGCTGCCTCTTCAGCAAGAGGCAAAAGGCCAGGAAGAGCAATGGCCACAGAGAAAAGGAAGCAGGAGAGAACAGACAGCCTATGAGGAATCCCCCTCTCTAGGTGCTAAAACCAAAATTTTACAAATTTACACATTTTTTGAGCCCTCCTCAGAGTAGAAATAGTTAGGGATTCCTCTTTGTGGATGACAAAATGCTTGAATTGGTTGATAAAGAGTTGCTCCCATCTTTCCTCAAACACATCACACATCAGATGGGATATAGGTAACAACAACATTGTCAAATTGGCAGTCTGTCTTTCTTCTCTCCGGCCCAACGCTGATGGCTGCTTTCATAGTTTCCGCGAGTCTAATGCCCTGCACACCTTGCACACGTTACCACACACGCTTTGAGCGGAGAGAACTCCAGATATGGGGATGGAGATAACCTGGGATGAATCCTGGCTCTGCCGCTCGCATGCTGGTCCAAAACCTCGGGCAAGTTAGGCAACAGCAATGGGTGCTCGTTGCCCTGCCTGTGAGGAGGGAAGAGGCCTTCCTTCCAGGCCCATGGAGTTGGTGTGAAAACTAGATGGTATAATTTTTCAGTGCCTGTGGCACTAAATAAATAGTTTGTTTTTTTTTCCTTTGGTTGAACCAGGCCTGTCTACTCATTGTTCCCTGAAGTCACATATTTGTTTTATGATTTTCTTCCTTCACACATAGCTCATGGCAGATTTTCTCCACTCTCTCACCCTCTCCACTCACAATGCCTTTCCCTGTCCTCTGCATCTTGGGCCTTATCTTCTGTCTGAAGTCTGACTTGACTCCACCTTGCTTGTGACACCCCCTGTCCGTTCCAGACCCAGGGTACGGTTTTCTGAAGGAGCCACTGGGGGTCTGTGGGGTTAAGGGCATCACTGGGGAAGCCTCATGGCATCGGGTGGAGCTCCAGAAGATTGTCCTTGTCCAGGAGGTAAGTGGTTCTCAGTGTCACCAGGGCAGTGGGACCAGGAGGCTGCCAGCTCTGGGGTCAGGGCTGACATGGAAAATGGACAAGGAGCCCAGGACAAAACAGAGAGACACTATACTGGCAGCCTTTGGCTAAAGTCCCATTTCTCCATATTTAATCCTTTTTTTTCATGGATGAGTTACCTATGTCATTTGGGCATCAGTGACCTCATCTTCAAGTTGAAGTTCATACATACCCCTTCTCCCTTTCTATTTTCCATGGGGATATAAACTCTAAAGAGACTGGGGCTACATTTTATTTTTAATTTACCAGTTACATCCGGCTCGTAGTATACCACCTGGCCTTCAGCAGGCATAAGACATACTTGTTGAAAATAAAATGAGTATAAAATAAGAAAGCATAGAAGTCAATGTTTGTAAACTAAAGGTGTGATACAAGTGTAATGTATTTTATCGCCACCTCCAAGAGCTCACCACAGATCTCTACACATTATAGTCATGCAGTTTATGTCAGTGGATAGGCCACATGTCCCCTATGGAATGTGAAGCATGCTGTGAGGTTGTTTGATCAAAATCTGGAATCAAAATCTTTCGGAGGAGAATGCCTGTCTTGGGTCAGATCATTACCTGTGGGTCTTGCCTTCAGGTTGTCTAATGTCTCACGGCAGATGGGCAATGCGCATGCCTCTCCTGCCTCCTGCACGCTCGGGGAGGACATAGCTTATTGATCATGATGCTTCTGTGCTGGATGTGACCTCCGCATTCTTTGAAAACCGACTTTACAGGCAGCTGCTTTCAATTGATCAGCATTGATCAGCATTCAATTTAATTGGAAGCCGATGGGTTATCCCTGGTCTTAGTTCAAGAGCATTCTCCTTTTGCTTGTTGGCTTATGTCCTTGGAGGCCTCCATCAGCGATCTCCCCACAGCCTTCTCTTGTAGATCATTTCTTTGTTTTCTTCGTTAGCTTTCAGAAAGTTCTCACATCCAAATACAATCTCTTGCTGGAAAAAAATAAGGTTGTCCTTATCCTTCAACCCAAAACAAATATCTCAAAGAAATATGATTTGGTTTTGCTTCAAAGAAATAAGAGAAATATCAAAGGGGAAAATAAATCAATCCACCTCCGTGAGATTCCTGTGAAATTTATTAGAAACGAGCCGCGTGCACGCGGAGGTTGCGCCTCGAACGCCGGATTCACTTTGAAGTGGGCTGCCCTGTTTCCTTAAGGGGCGGCACTTACCCACACTTTTTATTTCTTTAAAGCACTTTACAGATGCTTCCTAATTGATTTATGGCCCGGGACCCTGTTTAGAACATGGCAACAAGAGTGATTAAGAGGCCAGAAAAGCTGATTTATGATGAAAGATTGAGAACAGAATATGATCTGAAACCTGACCGAACAAAGACGCACAGCAGACATCTCAGCCACCTGTGATTACCTGGCCGTGCGTGAACTCTGGAGGGAGAGACACATTATGTCACTCGACCAGTAGAGGTTTAACAAGAGAAAGTTGATTTTTTTTTAAATGAAGAAAAACTCAGGCAGATTGATTCTCTAGGGCTATGGGCTGTCCCAGAAAGCTGCGAACTCAAGGTCGCGGCAGGACCAAGGTCGCCAGCAGAGCATGGTGTCTTCTGCATTCAGAAAATGCCACCCAGCCTCTGTCTACCCCCTGTTCCCATCGTCCCCTCTCCCATGGCCCACCGGCTTGTCATATATGACTTTGGGAAACTGTACTCTCTTTGTGCCTTTGGGGACAAATTGAGTATCTACAAAACTCAACCTAAGGAAAATGAATCTGATTCGCTAGTGGGGCGGGGGGCTCCCAGTCAGGAAGATTGTCTTACTGGTTAGAGGTACCCATGTGGGCATTTATGTAATTCATTGTTCCAGGTTTTCCGTTAGCAAGTCTTCTCAGGTTTACAGAAAATGTATAATAATAAAATCAACAAAATAGCTCACGGATTCTTTATGTTCCAAAAAGTTTGGGTTTTATTTTTGTTTGTTGTTTGAAGAATGCATGTCTCTCAGCTAAAGATAAGTAATGTTTCTTAGCTCCAAATTATTCATCAACTTACAAATATATTCCCCTAAAACCATTAAATGAGTTATTTACTTTGTGCACCTTGTGTTTTAGCCACTTTTGGGAGACAGGAATAGAAGGGGTGACCCTCGTTTGCAAGGAGCTGCTGCTGAGGCTGGAGAGGTAAGAGGACCCCGAAGTCTTCCTCTCATGCGGCTGAATTCTGGATACGGAATGGAGGCCTGGGGCTCTGGCCAGGGTGGGGTTTTGGGAATTGGGGTGCTGCACCCAGATTTCCACTCTGCCCCCAATGGAAATCAGTGACACTGACCCAGGTGAAGTTGACCGTGAGAACTAGTAGGGAAATGAATACTTGCAACTCCCCAAGCGTAAGATCTGCAGAAGAGGACAGTTGTATGGAGTAAACAAGTTCAAAAAGATGGGCAGATCCAGAAGAGAGCCTGAGGACTCACAGGCAGGGGAGAGAGGCTCTGTAAAGGAGCTGCGGCCAGGGCTCTCAGGGGGAGGTATGCTATGGGGAAGGTGGGGTAGGGGTGGGAGGCGGAGGGGTCAGCAAGCGACTCAGGTGCAATGGCTCAGCGCCGCCATGTTGCACAGCCCCTGGGACCCACTCTTACTGTGTCCAGTGTAAGTGGTGCCCCTAGAGGTGGGCGTCCAGAAGCACTGAAGAGGCTATGGCAGGGGTTCCAGGGTGCAGAGGAGGAGACACAAGCTATTCAGAACGATGCGGGAAGGGTTTCGGAGGAAATGACATCTAAGTGAATTCACGAAGATGCAGAATGGACGAGACAGAGAGAGAGGAGGAAGAGGCAGCTGCAAAGGAAAGGGGGTCTGTGAGAATGGCGAACGTCAGCTGCCCTGGGCGTGGCCCACAGGTGGCAGGAGGGACCCCTTGGGTGTATAAGGAGGAGTGGGCAGAGGAGGCAGGGGGAGGTAAACCAGTCTACGGAGATCTGTAGACAGCACCTTGGGGAGTGGGGAGGCCGTTGCTGAGTTAGTTACACTGGAGGCCCTTTGATCAGAGAATGATGGAGAAAGATCACATTGCCCGTGGTACGGAGGATGAAGGTGGGTGAGACCAGCGACAAGGGACCAGGTAGGAGGCTGTTGAAATGACCCGGGCAGGGAGCAAGGAAGGGCTGTGTAATGCCATCGTAATGTGACGGCGGAGCCGCAGACCTCCCAGTGCTTCCCTCCGCGCTGTAGTCCAAGTCTGTCTCCTTGTAGGTGACTCAGGGTGGATGCCTTTCCCATCTGTGCTGTCAGGGTCACTGCTGGCTAATACCCAGAAATACCTGCAACTGGTTTATTTTTAACCAGCTCGGGCACAGAGTCTGACAAATATCTAGAACAACAGAACCTGGCACACCCTTCATCACTTGGGAAAATGACTCTGCCTTATTAATAATGGGGGCTAGCTCATAAGTCTTTGTCGCCTTTCTAACAAACACTTCTCTTTTGTTTGGGCTTGATGAATTTGATCAGAATTTGGAGTAGGGCGAAAGGGTTGTGCGGAGCGTATCACATATCTCACAGGTTGAGAAGCAGATGGATTTTAAGTCACAGACTCTAATAATGTGTGGTATTACAGGGAGCGAGACACAAAAAATATTACAGCAGGTCCCACGCACTGTACCTACTCAAAGTCTCCTGAGTTTACAGCCCTCCCACCAGATCCTAATACGTAAGATTGCTGCAGAGGTTACAAAGGGAATTCTACAATTTATTCTGAAAAACTGGTACTTCGATAAATAAGTGGAGGAACCAGGATATAAGGAAACATAAAAAACCTTTAGAAGGTCAAGCCTGGAGAGACAAAACTCAATAGTTCAGCCCTGGCTGGTGTGGCTCAGTGGATTGAGTGATGACCCATGAACCAAAGGGTTGCTGGTTCTATTCCCAGTCAGGGCACATGTCTGGGTTATGGGCCAGGTTCCCAGTGGGGGGCACACGAGAGGCAACCACACATTGATGTTTCCTTCCCTCTCTTTCTCCCTCCCTTCCCTTCTGTCTAAAAATAAGTAAGTAAGTAAGTAAGTAAGTAAATAAATAAATAAATAAATAATTCAATAGTTCAGAGACAGGAACAGGATAGAGTTTTCTTTGTTTTAGAGAGAATATTACAAGGTGCTATTTAAGGTTATGGCTAGAGTTGGAATAGTCTCTTGCAAGAGTGTAGTTCATCAAGTCAGCTAGGTATCTGACCCTGTCTGCATAGAGGAAACAGACACATTTTTGTTGGTTTTTCACCGTGATGAGAAATATTCCACCAGAAAGGTGACTTCAGAGGGGATGAAAAATGTTTGTGCCTTGTTTTGGGCGGTGGTTACACAGAGGTGTGCAATTGGCAAGACTCATGACACCGAACACCTAAATGGGTACATTTTACTGAGGTCCATACATGAATGAAAAGAACATAATTTTTTAAAAGAAAAAGAATTATTCTGACACTGTCCTGGTGTGCTGGTGGCAAAACATGAATTGGGCAGTGGGGCAGATCAGACTCTGCACAGTGGGGACTTCAGGATCACAAACCAGACCTCTTGCTTGGAGTTGGAGTCCAAATGTATGCACTTAACGCAGTGGATGGCACCGGCCATCTCTGAGTAGCAGATAGACTGGCTAGAGTATAGGCATCATCTCTGCCTTCAGCTTCTCTGACCAAGTACAAAGTCAGTTAAGTCCCTCGGTGAACTTGGAGCCCCATGTGGGGCTATTTCTCTTACCCATGAATCACGAATGGAGACTTGGCTTATGAGGATTGCCAGCCCTCATCTGTGCCCAGAGAGGAGAATCATCGTTGATTAGTGGTGTCCGCTGCGGATGCAGTAGGGTGACCTGGAGGCCCACGTGCCCAATCTTTACTAACCACTCTTGCCCTAAATCTCTGAAGGATGGAGGATGGGGCTGGACACTCAGGACCACCAGGAAATGTCTCTAGTGGGGAAAGCAGTGACTATGGTGGTGTTGGGGATGTTCAGACACATCGGATCTGGAGATCAAGTTCTATTCCTTCTAGAAGCTTCCAGAGGTAAAGCTGGCTTGAAAAGGCCAAACAGAGAGTGGGACTGAAGTGCTAGTCTGAAGGGGGCAGGCAAAGGTGGACACCCAGTCCAGGAGAAGGTGACTGAAGCCAGAGAGAATGGGGGCAGGGCAAGCGAGTGTTGACCAGTGTCGGGGGTGGTCTGGGTCAGGGTGTGTCCTCGGGGGTTTTGTGGGAGGGGTGCTGCCGTCAGGGTTTGAACTGTGAATGAAAGCCACAGACTGCTGAATTCTGGCTCCTTTAACCCCCTCTCCCTTCCTTGAGGACAGAAGTGGTTCTAGGGCTTGGGGTCCAGTGGTCAGGTGACAGGGAAGGGCAGAGAGGGAGGGGACGACGGGACCCACAGGGATGCCATCTCCTCCATTGCAGGCTGTCTCATTCCTTCACCTGTTTTAGGCTGGATGCTTTTTATTCTTAAAAAGAAAAACACCAGATAGCACATGTCAGTACATGCTGTAAAGTGCAGGTGCTTTCATCTTTGGTGCACCTCCCCTCCCCTCCCCTCCCCCTCCCCTCCCCTCCCCCTCCCCTCCCCCTCCCTCCCTCCCCCTCCCCCTCCCCTCCCCCTCCCCTCCCCCTTCCCCTCCCCTTCCCTCCCTCCCTCCCTCCCTCCCTCCCTCTCTCTCTCTCTCTCTTTCTTTCTTTCTTTCTTTCTTCCCTCCTTTCTTTCTTTCTTTCTTTCTTTCTTTCCTTTCTTTCTTTCTTTCTTTCTTTCTTTCCTTCTTTCTTTCTTTCTCTCTTCTTTCTCCTCCCCTACTTTCTTTTTTTCTCATTGAAATATAATTGACATATACATTATATTACTTTTATGTATACAACATTTCAGATATTTTCTAATGGGAATAATGAAGGCACTGATTAGCCCACAAGGTATATACCTGCCTTTACTGTGAGTTTCTTCAAATTCATAGGAATTAGGTAGAGAGATAAGTTATAAGCACATCTATAAGCAAATAAGGATTGGTAATTCCTCCATTTCCTTAAAACAATTTCTGGGACATAATTATTTTATTTGCCTGATGATCCTATGTGGTACTATAGTCATCCCCCCATTTACCAGATGAGAAAACTGAGGCACAGAGAGGTTAAGTACATACCAATGTTAGAAGTTGAACCCAAACCATTTGGCCCCAGAGCTTGCTTTCTCAAGCATTTCACTCAGTTCCTCTCTCAGAAATGAGCAAAATCTTATCAGGAAGGGATTCCACCTTCAGTCTCCCTGAATACAACATTGAAATCTGTGTGGCTTCTGTAAACGTGGAAGATGTGTGCTTTCCCGCCGACCTCAGGGCTGTGGATGACTGTGGACCCCAAAGTCGTGAGTGCTTGTAAGGAACCGAAGAGTTTTTTCTGATAGTGCCGTGGTCCAGGCATTCTGTGGCTTATCCCTGAGCATGTGCCACACCCTGTTCCTGATTTTGATGGCCTCTGGTTTTCCCAGAAGCTCTGTGGTCTTGAAACAGTATGATCATCCCCGACTTAAGGTATTTATTGGGTGTCTTCTGTGTTGTGAGCAGCCGGATGCTCGGAAGGATACAACGGAGACAGCAAATGGAGATGTCAGTTTTATTAGCGGACTTCCTCTCTTGGGCTCCCTGGCAGCCCTCAGACAAGAGCAAGTTCTGGTCCCCGAGGCACTAGTGCCCAGGGGGCTGCAGGCAAAAGACCTACGAGTGTTTTGGTGGAATGGAGTTAATCAGTATTATCTTTAACTGAGTTGTTTTCCACACAAACCCAAGGTTAAAGGTACAGCGGGCAGATAATTGCTTCATTTCAAGGGTGATGCATTCCCAGCCCCAGGCACTTACTAGATCTACATTTCGGTTTGCGTTCGTCACATTCCTCCCGTCACACCTGCTTGAGCACAGAGGTTCATTTCCACCCTGGTGGGCCTGTGGGGTGAAGCCACTCGGCGAGATGTTTGGAAGTGTAATAATTCAAGCAGATGATGATCTGTGAGTAATCAAAGTTCCAAACGACCATGACTTTTAAACTCAGGGCCCGATGAATGGCAGGTGGTGACTGAAGAACCTGCATCTTGGCAGTCTTCTGAGTTTCCATCTGCTTCATCCGTATCCCTCACCTCGGAGCTTTCTCCTTCTCCTTCTCCGCCTGACTCCTCTGTGTCTCCTGCTCCTTTCAGGGCGTCCACTCGTCTCCCGCTCTCCCGCGTGCGCTGACTGGGCACGACGTGCAGTGGGAGCGCTGAGCCCTGGAAATGAAGAGCGGCCTCTGTGTCCCGGAGAGGAGCGACCCGGGGCCTAGGCTGGGGCCTGACGCAGGGTCAGGGCAGGAACTCGGCTCTTGCGATTGGCTGCTCAATACTCTCACTCAGTGTTTGCCAGAAGTATGGAAAAGTATTGATTATTTTTCTTGTTGTCACATATTTGATGGCCCTTGTAAAATCTGTTTAAAAATACAGAAAATGCTAAAGAAAAAAAATCAAATCAACTATTTTGTTTGCCTGGTGACCCCTATGTGGTATCATAACCATCCCCCCGTTACTATCACTTCACCCAGAGATAACCACTCTTAACAATTTGGGTATGTGTTTCTTCCCAGCCTCTTCACATAAACAGAAATTCAAATAAACAAAAATACATCTATTTTAATTTTTATTTATTTATTTATTTTTTAGAGAGGGAAGGGAGGGAGATAGAGAGAGAGAGAGAAACATCAATGTGCGGTTGCTGGGGGCCATGGCCTGCAACCCAGGCATGTGCCCTGACTGGGAATCGAACCTGTGACACTTTGGTTCACAGCCCGCACTCAATCCACTGAGCTATGCCAGCCAGGGCTAAAATACATCTATTTTAAAGAAATAAGATTCTATTTTAGAAGCACATTGGAATCTTTGTTTTTAATGCTGAACCTTCTCTTGTTCACATTGTCTCATTAATTTCTGTCTTATCTCAACTAGATATTCTTGAAATATGACCTTTATTGAGGTTATACTATACCTCTATGGCTGTACCATGATTTGTTTATTCGTTTGCGGAACTTATTGAATGCGGTTCCCCATTTTTTATTTAAAAGCAGGTGAGTGAGATTTCATTTGTCCCACAGGGGAGGGTGAAGGGAGCTATCAAACAATCCTAAGCGAGTTGCTCTTCTGTTGCTCAAAGAAGTCAATTAATTTCCCCGCCATGGTTCAGAGACTGTCACGGGGGAGAAAACAATGGTTCTGTACTGGGAGTGTGCTGATTTAACTGCCATGTTTGCCTGGAGACTTCCTGTGCTCTCTGTCCCTGCTCTGGGCAGGGAACCACTTCCTTCTCCAACTGTCACTGCCAGTCTGGTGTTAAACCCAATAGCTTGGGCCCTGGCTGGCGTAGCTCAGTGGATTGAGCACGGGCTTTGAACCAAAGTGTCGCAGGTTCGATTCCACGTCAGGGCACATGCCTGGGTTGCAGACCACGGCCCCCAGCAACCACACATTGATGTTTCTCTCTCTCTCTCTTTCTCCCTCCCTTCCCTCTCTAAAAATAAATAAATACAATCTAAATAAATAAATAAAAATAAAAAAATAGCACAATATTAACAAAGACAAACAAAAACCAATAGCTCACTCGTGTGACGTGCCCGAGGGGGATCACCCATCCAGGCAGCATTGATCAAACTCCTCCTGAAGCAGAACACGTGTCTTCTAGGCACAAGCCAAGCCTAGCCAGAGGGGGCAAAAGAGAAACTTGTTCACTGTCTGAGGGTGACACTTTACAGTTTATACATCCTGACCTGCCCTGGGGACAGAGGAGAGAGAGTGTCCCTGACATCCATGGAGACTTACTCATGGACCCAATGTTTGGATTTTTTTTTTCTTCCATTGCAAAGACAAGGCAGTACATGTAGCCCAGACCTCAGTGGCAAACAGACCTCTGCCCCTCCGCTCTGTGTCGTGGGACTTCGGGCAGATTATTCACGTCAATCATCTGAGCCTCCGTTCCCTCATCTGTCATTCAGGCCCTGACTCATGGGTTGGACGAGGATTAAAAGACGTAATACAGACGAAGAGTGCAGTGTGGCGTCTGGAAAGTCAAGGGGTCAGGAAATGGTGGCCAGCACAGTCATTTACCCTGCCCGTCCTGTCGTTTCCATGGTCAAGGTCAGCATCTATCTTTTCAATGGATAATAGGAAATGAGAAAGAAAGTGATATCCTTGAGATGATCCTTTCCATATACACATAAAATGAAGCATGCTTGGGCTTAAATGAGGGGATGAGAGGCTTTGAGGATTAGGGCTTGATGAGGCATCTTACTATACATGTTAAAAGCAAGACACTTAAAACTTTCCCTTTTCTCAATGCTCACAGGCCTGTGGAGCTCTGCAGTCACGACTTTGAAGGCCTCTGCCCTTTCCCAGCGAACTGTGGGGACGATGGCTGCTTTCCGGAAAGCTCCCTTCGGATCCCCGGCCACCCCCCTCTGGCTGCCCTTTGGCTTTGGAACTGGATCAGAGCTGTCACATGCACTTACTTGGACGGACATGACCTTCGCCCCACACCCGAGGGTGTTCTCTGTGAGCCGAGGATGGATGTGCCTGGTGCAGAAAAGGTGTTCTGTGCCGGGGAGGACAATTCAGAGTCACATTGGCTCGTAAACAGCCATTTCCTCGGAAGGTGCTGCATTCGAGGCCGGCTGGCTGGCCGGCGCTGCTCCCTCAGGCTGAACGGCAGAGCCCCCAAATCACCTTCCCGAAGTACCCCGTGGCAATTTGCTAATTATTTTTATGATGCCAGGTCAGCAATAAAGGTGGCCTTCCTGCTCCGCTCAGCCGCACGGCAGGAGAGACCATTTTTCAAAGCTGGGTTCCGCTGCCCGGCCTGCCGGGGAGGGCGGCCCCGAGTGCGGGCTCAGTTGCTCTGCACGCCTTTCTTGGTGTGTCCTTGTCCTTTTCCTAGTCCTGCTTTGCTGCCCTTGGAGTCTGAAGGTGCATTCTTTTTTCTAGGGCTGCCATAACAAAGCACCACACTGAGTGCTTAAAACCCCAGAAACTCATTCCTTCTCAGCTCTGGAGGCTGGACGTCCAAGGTCAAGGGGTCAGCAGGGCTGTGCTGGCTCTGAGGGCTTTGGAGAAGGGATTGTGCTCCATGCCTTTATCTAAGGGGCCGGTCTTGCTGGCAATCTTGACCTTCTTTGGCGAGCTGCAGTATCATTCCAGTCTCCGCCTCTGTTGTTACCTGTGATTTTCTGTGTGTGTTTGTGTGTCTGTGTCTTTCTTCTCTCCTCATACTGAACTAAGGGCCCACCCTACTGCTGTTTAATCTCGTCTTCACTAGTTACTACTTCTGCAAAGTCCTTATTTCCAAATAAGGTCAGGTTATAAGGTAGTGGGGGTTAGGATTTGAGCTTATCTTTTGGGGGGGCCATAGCAGAAACTATGACAGAAGATATCGAAGGGGACCTCGTGTATAAAAGCTTGGGGCATTATTTTCAATTATTCCCCAGCCCTCCGACTGGTGGGGAGCTGCTGTAAGTGTTTGCTTTGCAGGTGAAAAGAGGGCCTGAGCTCCAAGCTCACATTGGGGGTGTGCACGTGCGGTTATGGGTGTGCCCCCCGTGGGCTGTTTGTTCGTTCCGGTGAACACAAGTCTCTTAATAGTGTAACAAGATCATAGTGGTCCAATGAGTAAAGAAAAAGAGCGGTCCCACCTCCTCTGAGTCACGGGACCCACGCGCTAGGGCCCCCCTCATTCTTCCGGCACCTCTTCTGTGACAAAACCCTGTTTCCAGCCTAGAGGAAGAAACACACAGGGTCCTATTCAAATTACCACAGGAAAGTTCAAACTCTGGAATTAGTCGTGTCAGAAAAGCCCAGACTCTTTTAGCTATACAGGGCAACTTCAGATTCTAATGGAAACCTTGCAGGCTGTCATGTAATGTGAAACAATTCATTCCTTTCAGTTATTTCATGAAGAGTTGGGCCCGTCTGCGGTGACTTGCATCCGAAGTGTCACAGATGCCATCCTCATTTTGTAAATTACACTGTCTCTGAGGCTTCCAGAGCCTGCCCTAGTTTTTTTTTTTTTTTCTCTCAATTTCCAAATCCTGTGGAGCTTCACCCCCTGCTGAGGTTCAGGTAGAACGGCTCAGTGCAGTAACGATGCTACTTAAGTTAAGGTGTTTTGGGATTTGGGGGACTTCTCATTCCTAATTTATATCACAAGAAAAATTTTTGGCAGAGTAGAAAGAAACAGTGCATTTGCAACTAGCTGAGGGCCCGGGCCTCAGTTTCCTTGACTGAAAAACGGAGCGTTTGCAGTGCAGACTCGGGAGGTCATCTACCGAGTCTCGGCTTCCAGGAGTCTAGAGTGCGTGATGACTCTTCTAAACGGCTTCAGAATGTTGATCAGGAAGTTCGCCGTGCAAAAGGGAACCGTCTGTGACGTGGCACCCGGCTCAGCTCTGCTGACAAAAATCTTCTGTCGCATGAAGGATTTTCCTGGAATTTGACCTCCATGTTCTTCGGGCTTGTCAATGCCTGGAGCACGGCAGTGACCTTGCAAGGGGAAACGGCCACTTTGCATTCTTCCTGCCTGCATGTTTGCTCCCTAAAGGCTGTCCCAGGGATTATTGATGAGGGCTGCGGCCCACTGCGATCCCTAAGATTTGGGCGGCTCTTTGTACTTTCCACAGTGCGTTCATGAACATTCATTTATTCAGCCCCCACAATAGTCTGGGAGTGAGTAAGACTGGCCTCATTCTCATTTGAAGAATGAGGAAAATGAGGAGCATGGAGCCTGCATCACCTTAACAAGGTCACAGAAGAGATGAGCGGCCGAGCGAGCGCTGGAATACAAATGTTCTGGCTTCGTGTTCAAGGGTTCTTCCATCACCTTTGAACTGAGCTTTCCAGGTGGGGCAGGAAAAAAACTTAACCTATACACTTACTATGTGCTGGGAACTCTTGCATCGTAGACAGGATTCAAACCACCATCTATTTGATTCCAAAGACTAAATTCTTTCCATTACCCTTGGTAAAGGAAATATCTGTCCCTTGGTGACTGGAAACAAAATTTAAGCACCAAGTGTCATTATGTAAAGTCGATCAATTAGTTTGATTTTACAGGCAGCTTGAATACTCCCAACCGTGATGGGCTAGTGTGCTTAGTGATGCAAATAGCCCCGAGGTGGGTTCAGTCTCTTTGGCGACCTCCAGGTAGATTCTGTGAGAAGAGAGAGGGGAGTTAGAGAGACTGTCCAGGGAACATCTGCTTCACCCTGGAAGACACCACCAGAAGATAGATGTGAGGAGCCAGGAGTTCCACTGTCCGCTTTCCCGAATGGTTGGTGTGATGTTCAGAGGTACCAGGAATTGCTTGTGGATGCTTGTAAGTCCTCCTCTCCCAATGGCTGGGCCCACAATTCTATCTCTAGGGACTGAGCTCAAGAAAGTATTTCGGATACTTGTAATAAATACCTGCCTGTTTTGCTCATTGGTGGTTGTGAGGATCAAATGGGAGGATATATGTAATTGTGTTGTGGAAATACAGCCAGCTGGTCACAATAAGGAAACCACGTAGTGTTTTCATAAGAGACTGGACTTGGGGTGCAAGAGCTGCCCTGTCACTTACTAATTCTGGGATCTTGGGCAGGCGTCTTATCTTGTGGGACCCGGTTCCTCATCTCGCCTGCTGGGGGCGCTGAGGCTTCAGTGAGGTGATCTGTTTAAAATGCCGGGTCCAGCTCTTCTGTAGTCCGTCCCTGGTGAGAAGCTCTCGTTTCCTCTTTTGTCTCTTTTGGGTTAATGACTTGATTTCTGTTAAAATATTCTGGGATAAGAAATGGTTTTTTGGAAGTGGTTTATGCTTTTTAAGAACACGGGATCTGCAAACATAACTTAAAAAAAACAAGTTTTCAAAGTTATTTTCCCTCATTCACTTTAATAGCATGTAGCTTAGTTGTTCCTTTTTTTTATATTCTCTGCCAGAGAGTGTTTCTTCCTTCTGGGAACTCTCCTCTCTCTCCTCATGTGTTTCTGGTGGGGCTGACAATCATGTGGCTCTGACTTCCTTGCCACAGCGATTGGTCCAGGGATGGACATGTGACCTTAGAGACGCCAATTATAGCTTTTGCTTGAGTTCACTGTGGTCATGGGTGGATAAGGAGCAGCATTCTTGTCTCAGTCTGTGAGCAAGGTTTAGCCTGGAGCTGCTGGTGGTTATCTTTAATGCTTTGTACAAAGCACCTTCTGAGGATGACGCCTTTATGATGGAAAGCAGATCAAAAGAACGCTAGAAAGAAAGATTCCGAGTGGCCTATTTGAACCTTTGTATCCTGCCATGCTTCAAGTCAGCCCTCCCCCTGTCTGACTGCTTAGATCCTTTCTTAAACTAAGTTTAAGCTTGTTTCAACCTGTATTCTGTCATTTTCAACTGACAAAAACCAGATGAGTACTTGCAGTGGCTGGGGGAGCCTCGTGTCCTGGGTGTCCTGGATGTCTAAGGAAGCGCATAAGTAAAGGTGTCCCTGTGGAAGTTGGTCAAGGTGTTCAGAAACTGACGACTAGCTTTTCCTAATTAAAATGCCCAGGGGCTGGCTTGCTTTTTAGAACAGACTTTACGTAGAGAATGCAGGATGTATGGGCTGAGTTACATCTCCTGCTCAGCTGTAAGAATGACAGACATTTCTGAGGAATAGGGCTCCAGGCCACATTCCTGCATGCAGGCTCTTTCAAGCCAGACTGCAGGGAATCACGGGCCTTACCTGGCAGGCCTCAGGGGGAAAGCCACCCTCCTTACACACCAGACATGCATTACTGTCTCCTGGAGGGAGTTTCAGGCTAGGATCAGGTGCACCCCCTGCTCCCAACAATTCCCGCCCCCACCCCAGTCTGCCCCGGGCCAAAGCATACTGCTAGTGCATAGCTTCCTTCCCAGGCAGGCACTTCCATTCAGAGGCTGCTTTATTGGGGGCCAGGACTGAGGCACTTTTCTCCACTTGCACTTAGTACTTTCCTATCTCTAGGCCGTTCTCTGTAGCTCCCTGGCCCACACCTCTGCAGAGAGAAATGGGAGCCGTTTATTGAGAGCATCCTCTATCTGCTGCATCCACCTGACCTCTCCTGCTGCCGTTTTGGTCCAGAAAAGTGGAACCAGCCCCTCTTTTTTTGCCTCTTGCTTGCCTTGTGGAAGTGAGTAAATAAAGACTCCATTGTTACTTTCAGTTTGGCTCATTGCCCTAATTGACCACCTGGACATCTGGAAGCTCCATGGCTTTAAATTCATTGCTCTGGATTCTTCTAAACATGATCATGCATAATTATCCAGACTGGCCAGGAACAGAGAGGCACGGTGAGAGGGGATCTCAAACTTCACTGTAGAATTTTCAGCTCCAGCTGTCTGTTTCAATGAGATCAGGCGCGTTCAGAGTGGTACGGCTGTAGACGGCAGGTGTCTGTTTAAATGTGCTGATGCACAGATCCTGTCCCAGACTAGCTCTATGAGAATGTTCGTGGATGGAGCCCAGGCATGGTAGTCAGGTAATTTTAATATCAGCCAAGGTTGTGAACTCTGCTTAAATGATACCTGAATCACTAATCTGGGAAGTGAATAGCCTAGACTCATGGGTTCTCCTTAACCTACTGGATGAGAATCATAGAGGGGTGGATTCTGGGAATCTGGGGAGTCCAGGTGATTTTGATGCAAGTGGTAACTAATTTGAGGACAGTTGAAAAATATTGACCCAACTATGAGTGTGTGTGTGTGTGTTGGAGGGGAGAGACCAGGGGAAAAGAAAATAAAGAAACCAGAACCCAGATTGAGGAGAATCCAAGGAGTAACCACAAATGACCTGTCTATTCAGCCACCCATCCATCTATCCAGTTGGGTGGTTATGCAGGAAAACAGTTAGAAGCATGGGACTCTATCAAAAGCACTTACACCTGAATCCTATCTGTGCCTTAGGCATTAGATCTGACTCCTTAGGCAAATTATGTAACCTCTCTCAGCCTTGGTTTCCTCATCTGAAATTTGGGGACACATGTGCAAAGGTTGTCATGACATCTACATTAAATATTTGTAAAGTATTTAGCAGAGTGCCTGGAACTGCACCCTCGAATATGATGATCCCTAGCCCTGTGTGGCTAGTGAACACTCACGTGTGGTGGTCTGAACTGAGATAGAAAATGCACAACGGATTGTGAAGGCTTAGAATTAATAAAAAAAAGGTAAAATGTCTCACGAAGAATTCTGAAATATTGACGTTATAATGTTTTGTACATATTGGGTTGAAATAACATTTTACACATATTGGTTTAAATACATTATTGAAGTGACTTTCACCTGTTTCTTTTCATATTTTTGTCAAGCAGCTACTGACATATTTAAGAACAGCACATGTGGTTATATGTAACCAAATAAGACAGTGTTGGCCTAGAACAGAGTAATCTCTCAGCAAATGTTAAGTGTCATGTTGTTATTGGTATTGTTCTATGTATTCGATTCAAAAGTAGCTGGTGAGTACTTGCTATGCAGAAGTAAACATCCATTATTGATCACGTGGAGTGCTCAGAGTCTTGTTAAGGCGAACAAAGTAATCAGGGGCGTGTGGGACTTGATTCATCCAGAACTCTGGTGTGTGCCTGACGTAGCCCATATTTTTACAACACATGCAAGATGAGATGCACAATCATCTGTGGGATATCGCAAATTATCATGATGGCCGCTAGTATCCCAGAGCATATACAGTGTCCGGTGACAAGAAGGTGTCTCAGAGAGGGTGCTAGAGTTGAAGAACCTCGCAGACTATCAACCCACTTAAAGAAACCTGATTCTAGTACACAACATGTAGCCCATCATGTTATGAGATTCCCTTTCCTGAGTTTATAAAAAAAAAAAGGAATCAATTAGGGTAGTGGGACTAACAGTGTCGCTTCAGAATTTATGTCCACCAGGAAGCTTAAACTATGGCCTTATCTGGAAATGGAGTCTTGGAAGATGGAATCAGTTAACATGAGGTCGTGTTGGATTAGGGTGAGCTCTCACCCTGTGACTGAGGTCTCTGAAGGAAGAGGAGGCAGAGATGCAGACAGACACACGGGAGAACACGTGTGAAGACAGAGGAGTCATGCCGCCTCAAGCCAAGGCGTGACTCTTGGCAACCACCAGAAGCTGGGAGAAGAGAGGCAGGATTCTTGTCTAGGGCCTTTGGAGGGAGCATAGCCCTGTTCACACCTTGATTTCAGATTTCTGGCCCCCTGAGCTGTGAGAGAATAAGCTTCTGTTGTGACACACTGCTCAGGTTTTGGTAATTTAGGACTTCTCTAAGAAACAAATACATTGGATGTTACTTGAGCCTGCCTGGCTTGGTCTTCTTAACACTTTGTGGGAGGTGCGCATAATAGCAAGGAATGCCTGGTGATTCTCGGACGAGCAAATGCATTGGGCACATCAGGGCAGAGAGAGATGAAACCAAGTGCTAACCTGCAACTTTTATCCCTATCTACACAAATGTTTCTAATTAGGAAAAACTTGGGATTTAAGTGGCCTAAGCTTATCTTTTGTGGAGCTCTCCTGATGCAAATCAGGGCTCTGAGTCTGTCTCTGTTTCTTCTCCAAACCTGTGTTCACATTGACATTACTCTTCTTTTAGTGAATTATGGGAAGGCATGTGCGATTTTAGTGTCTGCATTATGAAGGAAAGATGATATTTTTTTTCCAGGCCAATTTCCTGTGTAGGGCGCTGCTTGTTCTTGCTCAGCTGCGCAATGAGAGGACGAGGGACTCTGCGAAGACGCCTGGGCATCACGCTAGCTTCTTTCTTCTTCCTTCCACCATCTCATCAGTCACTGCGTCCCGAAAGCCACCTCCGCTGGGCTCTGCATCCATCCGCTTCTCTTCATCCTTGGCCCTAGATACGAGAGGGAGGAAGTTAAAGATTCTAGAATTAGCACATAAGGTGAACGTCACAGTTAGTGTTACCCGTGGGAGAGAAACATGGGGAAGAAACCCCTTAAATTATGCTGAAATCACCCAATGTGAACCGTGAAACTCAAAACCACGGGCTGAAGTGTGATTTCTCTTGTTTTTCCAACTGAGACCATTCTTTGTCTGGGACAAAGGGTGTTTTTTGACAGGGGGAAGGATGA